AATAAATATTAATGTGTGTGTGTACATTCTTGTCATAGATGGCAACAATTCGGTAAAGAGTCTTCTTGGTAAAGGCAATTAATTTCTTTGATTACACTTTGTACACTTGCTAAAATAGCTGGACGGCAAGTTTATTTTCAGATCTGTAAAATGAAGAAAACTCTGTGGCTTATCTTCAGATTCTCCCTCCACAACATTTGGGAAACATTTAAATAATAAACCCAAAGATACAAAGAAAGCATATGCAGCACTTGTACTATAGCATAAATATACTTTGGAATGTGGCATGTGCTACAGCAAAAATACTACATCAACCTAGCATTACGGTTGTGACCCAAGCCAACAAAAACAAGATAATTCATCAGAGATTTATGGTCTGGCCTTCATCCAACCTACTGCATGTATTGCAATCTATTGCATCTGATCTGTTAACAATTCTGGGTGAATGTGTAACATCAAAGTTCAATTCTAGACACATCAATCTTGTATTTTGAAGATGAGACTGGAATAAAGATATTTTACCACATTATTTTGAACTTTTGGGCCTGAACTCTTGTGCTAAGTCTTCCTACAAAAAATGAAGTTTGATCCCATAGTAGTATGCAATCTGAAACATGGGTTAATACTGGGATTTGTTACTATTAATTGTAGAAAAAATGACACGTGAAAAATGAAAATATACATCTGAGATGCTTGCCTGTACAACTTCTGAACTGGTACACATGCAAAAGATCCTCTGTCAACTGTATCACATTTAAATTCTGTCCTGAAATGATTTAGAAAGATAGGACCAAAAATGCCTAATCACAAAAAGAGTGAGATTCTGTGAAGGACTATGTACAATCTAGATACTGTATATCTCTTGCTGATTCAAATTCTACTCTATCCAAGTTAGGGCAGAATTTCCAAACTTTCATAGGAAAATTCAGCATAACTTTTCCTTTCTTTCCCCTTTTTTGAAAAATAGAGAACTCTTTTTTTCTACATCAAAGCTTTTCACTACCTCTGTGCAACGTCTCATAACTGACCAATCCTACAACTTCTTTAGCACAAGAACCCTTTCTAACTCCTGAGGCCTTTTAGTATCTTCTCCTTCTCCATCTTCAACAGTCACTACAAAGGTGATATCCACTTAAGAATGGACATTAAGAATGCACGAGAGGCATCATCAACTCAGCAAGCTAATGCTGGTAGATTCATAAATCCCATACAAACTACTACAAAGATAAGAAAAACATAATCACAAATTGAGCCACTACTTCAGCTGACATTCTTACCATGGTATTTAGGGGACATTTCAGTTCAAGCATCAGAGGTGCAAGGGTTTCTTTTAAATATGACTCTGAGCAGTGTTGTGGTAGCAAGCGCTAATTGCTGGCACCTCTGCTGTATAGAAGTAAAAGCAGGATTCAACCAAAAAGATAAACCATTTATGTTTGCATATTACACTGGTATACATACACCTACCTAAGCCATACTCAGAATTAGTGGCAAGTGTTTCCTTTTTCCCTCCTGTACTCCTTGTTTCCACAATACCTCATGCCTCATTCCAAAGCTGGGAAGATGACAACACAACCTGTTGGGGACTGGTGAGAACATAAGCAGTCACAGTGTTTTCTTGAATAAAGAGAGGTGAAAACTGCAGCTGTGACTCCAGAACATCCAAATCCTATTCCGGTTAATTCAGAGAGGTTAACGTCGTACCTTAAAACTGAAACAGATGCTTGAGGAGTTAAGTTAGGGTTGGTGCCCTAACTCCTCATTTACTGTAACTGATCAGGCCCTAGCAGTGCCTACCAGTGCTCACAAATACAAACTACAAGAGGCTCTCAGGCTCAGTGAAGTAAAATATTATTATAAAAGTATTTCCTAAATACCTGTTGTGGAAACTGCTCCAAACAAACCTCATTCGATACTTTCTCTGCCCAAGAGGTACCTGGAGCTTATGAACAAAGGAGAAGGAAAGAAGTTATCCTACTCTTTCATACTCGTTTAATTTTGAAAAAAAGATATGAGACTTGAGTTACCAAGTTGTTGTTTTCTTGTGTAGACATGCTGTATAAGGTTCATTTTTCTCACTAGGGGCAGAAAAGAACACATACAAATGGAAAGTCAGAAAGACATGAGCACATGCATAAAGTGAACTGCATCGTTCTCTTTCCTTTCTTCTACTGGAAAGAGATTCTACTTCCTTGAAATAAGGAAGGCATAGGTATAGTCTAAATAGTGACTGCAAATAAGTTGCACAACAAACTTAATATTGTGCTATTTAGAACATCAGACAGCAAATTAAAAATATTCTATGGAATAACTGTGTTAGTAAAGAAACTAGTGCTGTGCTCGGAATTGATAACCCTTAAATTAACACATTAAACTAGAGACAGTACAAATGATTTGTGGTATAGTTATCGCTGGCAGATGGAGGCATGCCATGGAGCTGAGAAGGATTTTGATTCCAGAAAACGAAAGACAGGGATGAGGCAGAAAAACAAGAGAACAAAAAAACAAATTTGAAGTAGCTCTGTCATACATACAAATTCAACAAGAGTCATTGTTTTTAAATTCATTCTGATTGCTTACCGAAGTCCAACCTTACATATTTTAAATAACATGCCATTTAAACTCCTGTCAGAAGTGGTCCTCTCTATGTGACCACAGGATATTTAAGTTACAAATGTTAATAGTGTATTTTATGAAGGGTAATGGCTGCAATACAAATGAAAAGGGATTACATGCCAGGTATTACATTGCATGCATTCCTCTCCTAGTGTGCAAATGGCCAGATGGGCCCTAAAAGGCTAACTGCACTTGTTGTGACAAAGTGGCCTTCTAAGCGTGGCAGAACTGAAACATTATGAAGCTATCAGTAGTGATATGACCTGATGTCATTGCGACTGTAAACATAAGGCAGATGCTTCTGTACTCAGACTTAACCTCCATGCAAGCGTGCTTGGCACAAATACTTGTTACCCAAGAACAATGGGGTTTTACTTTCCAATTTACTTTCTACTTGTGCCAGTAGAAGTAATTTCTCAAATGCTTGCAGAAAGCAAATGCTCAGCTGGCCCTGTTCTAGAGTCATTCATTTGTAGCTTTTGAAGAACAGTCAAAGGACCTCAAAGAATCCCAACATTTAAAAACGCTTTCTGTGTTTTCTAATACCGAGATTATTCTTCTAGGCTTCTTCAGGCTTCTGAATATGTTCAGACAACATTTGCTCAATCAGAAGAGAGCTGTAGAGCACATCTTTCTAAACATGGATCTCTCCAGTCCTAGACAGCTCCCTCAGCTCTCTCAAACATACTACACTAGTTCTTCCTGTAACTTGGCCAAACACATCACCTTTTCTTTGTTTGTTATTGTTATTGTTTCTGTTTTTTGATGGGTTGATCGGTTTGCTTTGCTTTGTTTTTACAGAAAACCTTTAACGACCTTCAGCCCAGTTTTAACTTGGGATACAAATAGTTGCATCTAAGTTTTATGTTACTTGTACTACTGCATGCCTGGAGTGACTGAGCAAGTTTCACACTGTTGAAACTTGAAAATTCCCACTTGCACAGCCCTGTGATATTAGCAAATCAATTGGACGGCTACCTCTCCCCTCTTAACATACTTTTGCACTCCACACCATTCAGGAGTGATGGGATCATGAAGAGGACATTTGAATTGTCTCTGCGAAGGGTCTAGACTAAAGTATTCTACATCCAGTTCTGGCCAACATTTTTATCAGTGACCTCAATTCAGGAATGGAATGCATCCCCAGCACTAAACCTGGGGGTGCTGTTGACTTTGGAATGATGAGAAGCCTTGTGGAGGAATCTGCATACACTGGAGCAACAGGCAATCAGCACCAGCGCAAAGTTTAACGTAGTGAAGTGCTCAATTTTGCATCTGGGATAGAGAAATGCCTGACACAGGTACGGACTAGGAGATGAGTGGCTAGGGAGCAGTCCAGCAAAAAGGAATCAGGACGTGCTGGTGACAGCAGGCTCAGCATCCATCAGCAGTGCACCCTGGCAGCTAAGGGCCATACCACATTTTAAGAGGCATTAAACACAGCATGGCCAGGTGGCTATGATTCTCATAGAATCATAGAATGGCTTCGTTTGGAAAGGTCCTGAAATACCATCTAATTCTAACTCCCCAGCCACGGACAGGGTTGCCAACCACTAGATCAGGCCATCTGGAACCAATATACAGTATTTAGCACTGGTGCAGCCCCACCTTGAGTACTGTGTGTAGTTCTGCAATCCTCAATAAAAAAAAGGGTGCTAGTTTACTGGAAAGTGCACAGAGGATGACAACAAAGGTTGGTAACAAGTTTGGAAAGCATGTCCTGTCAGGAGAGGTTGAAGACACTTGGGTTGTCAAGGGGTTCTCAATTCCATTGCCCTCTAGAACTTTAGAAAAGTTGTAAGACCACTGTCTTTAGGAAAAGCTGACTATGATTCAATTTATATGATATGGAAGATACCAAAACTAGTGATTCTTGCCTTTCATCAGCGCCAACAGAGAGCGAAAAAAATCACACTTACAGGGAACGATCTATCTGACATAGACAGATATATACTTTTGGATATAAGGAAGTGCAAGAAAAATCTTTCTTTCAACTGAGTATCAGGGTTTCCCAGCATGAATAGGTCTGATTTAGGTTATCTGCTCTGTAGGTGTCTGTCCTTGACCAGGTGATCCCATTCCCGGTGGCTTATGTTGGACATAATGGACACCATTACCATTCATTTTTGTAGTTGCAATGTTTAAACAAAAAGTGAAGCAGAAGAAAAAGTCTGAGGAGCAAACAATGTACTTTTTCTCCCATTTATTACTGAGATATGAAGTCAGCGGCTTATGAAGAGGAGGCTCAGCAATCTAAACAGAGCTGGTTTATCATGCACTTACCTTTGGGGATAGTAATCTGACATCCCAGGTCATACTCCTGCTGCAGCTGATAAAAAGCCACTTCCTGCAGCCGAGCGCGCTCCAGCTCTGAGAGACTTTGAACGGGAACTGACTTCAGCCGAACGCTGCGCCCTGACATGCTGTTCCAAGTGAAATCACCCTACAGGAAATCAAATGGAAAAATATGAAGCATCATACGGTATGTGCAATTTAATAAACATAACTATCTCTTCTACTGCAAGGAGAAACAATGCATGTCCTCTTTTCTGAAAGGCCATTTTCCTGGACTTCTCTAACCTTTCAAATATCTTTGTTTTCCTAAGACTAACATTCCTTAAAAGGAGTACAGACATACAAAACAAAGTCAATTTTGCCTGAAAACATTTAAGCATGTATTGTTGCAAAAACTCTGGGATTCCAGTAATCAAAAGGAAAAAACAGGAAAAAAAAAAACAACCTTGTCTGCTTTTCCCAGCTTGGTTTCTTTGTACAGTAGTTCATCATCACTTCATTCCCTTCAATGCACATTCAGTCAGAGACCTGAATTCCTACAGGTCCATGGATAACATGCATCTTATCTCCTCCAATTTGCTAACCCCACTCCCCAAAGCTGTTCAGTGAGTAATTTTCTTTTCCAATGCATCCTACCCGCTCCTTACAAAGTGACTGTGGTTAAAGCAAGACTGACTAAAGGATAATTTGTTTTACGTTTCTGAAAAGCCATTATAACATATGCGCTACAATACAATAAAACAACATGAGATATGCTGCATCTCTGTAAGGTACCAATTATGTTCAGAAACAAAATCAAAAGCTTTATAAGTTTTATCTCCCACATACGATGACATACACAAAAAGCCATTCTTATTGCTAGTATTTAGTTCAGATAAGAGAAGTAATCATCAGTCGAACAGAAGTACGACCACACAGAAAAGCTGAAAGACTGACAACTAACTTGAAACAAGAACTTTAGAATTCATCAAAGCATAATTAGAGAACACATTTTTCTACATGGAAAAGAAGAGTTCAGCTTTGAGCAAAAAAGACTCAGAGGGAATCTGATTAATGTTTACAAGTTTCTTAAGTGGGGGAGTCAAGAAGATATGGCCAACTTCTTTTCAGTGGTCTGTGGGGACTAGACAAGGGGAAACTGCCATAAACTGGAGCATTAGGAAGTTCTGCATCAATATGTGAAGGGACTTCTTCATAGTGAGGGTGATGGAGCACTGGAACAGGCTGCCCTGTGAGGCTGTGGATTCTCCTCCTCTGGAGATACTGAAGACCCATCTGGACGCCTGCTTGTGAAGCCTGCTGTAGGAAGCCTGCTTTGAAGGGGGGCTGGGCTCAATGATCTCCAGAGGTCCCTTCCAACCTCTACAATTCTGTGATTCTGTACATAGCTATGACTGCACATGCATTCACATGTATGAGAGATAAAAACATCATAAATATGCAGCACCATCTAGCAATGTAGCTGAAAGAAACAATGCAGTGAAGGACTTTTCTTGTAAACCATGAAATGTGTCTGAGTCCCTCAAGAAGCCTTTGTTTTTGTAAAAAATTTTTGCAAGTTATAAGGCAGTTGTGACAGATGAAGCTGTCACCTTGAATTGAACAGTACTGTATCTACATGTTAAATGAATCTACTATACCCAATATTTTTTATGATATGTATATTTATATGTGTCACATATGTAAACTTTTGCACTAGCCCAGGATTTGACCACTGGAATTTGGTTTTTGCTTTTTCTTTTTTTGCTCTTCCACTGCTCCACTGCTGACTAACTAGATTTAGTGGTCTCAAACGAAGGGTTTGCAAGGTGATATAAACCAAGACTAGCTTAACTCAAGTGAAACCAAAGCAGAGAGATTCACATAAACCTGTTTTGTGAAACTGCAAGTAAATGTTTACATTTTTGAAAAAGCCGTTGTCATTTATAGTTAAAAGTGATCAAGAACAGAATCCACCATCAGACAATGTATACCAAGAAAGAATTCCTTTCCAATCATGATAATACAGAAGAAAAAAATTTACAAGTGCAGAAATATGCAACTCAATCCTTATGAACATCTCACGTACAAAATGTTCTATAGTCAAGATAGCAAAAAGAGAGAACTACAGGCTTTTGGGGTAGACATTTCTGGATTTATCTTATCTATTTCTCTTAGATGAGCAATTTCATAAACAAAAGTATCATGGATATACATTTATTATGGTAGGCATAACTGGGATGTTTTAATTTTGAAATGTGAAGGCATGAAAAATAGAAAATTGTGAACTAACAGCTTATTAAGACTAGAAAGCTTTTAGAACATATCCTGTTTCCTGTAGAGCACAAAAAACAAGGAGGAATATGGGGCTTTTAGGAACTGCCACAAGTTAAATACATACTCCTTAACTGGAATTATGCATGGACACATGAATTATTGTTATTTTTTGATGAAAATCAATGTGGACAAATCTAATTCTGGAGGTAATTGCACCCTCTGCCTCACCTCAGAGCAGCTTTGTAACAGCAGGCAGCAAGCTGTACCACTGCAATACCTCAGCTGCTGAACCAGCCACATGAGTTTAACTCGAAAAGACAACATTTACTGGCATCAATATTCTGCCTTTGAGGCCAACGAAGACTCTATGCAGAGCTCTGCTGCTTTATATGAGCAAATCAGCCAGCTCAGCACTGGCTTAGAAATCCTACTCAAGCTAATTTTACCTTATTATGGCTGCACCTCATCTCTCTCTTTAAAAATATAAAAATAAATAAAAATTAACATGTCTAAGTTTTACAACCAAGAGAAATAAGAAAGTCCCATACCAGATGAAGATTGTTCCTCTCAACCAGGATTTTCATTCTGTCAGTCTCTAAGCTCCCCAAACACCTCTGGCACTCACCAGCATGGCCCTTGTTGGCTAAAAATGGTCGGATGCATCCTCAAACTCCACGACAGATTGTTAAGCAGCAATAAAGAATTTGGAATCACTCTGCCCAGTCTCTGTGCACTACATAAGGCATTCTTCTTTTATACTTGATGTGTTTGATAAAATCTCTGCTAGGTCACATTAACATAGGGTTTTACTATGCTAATGGAACACATGAGTAATTATCTGAAATATTTTTGGAAGATCATGTGTTAGGGCCAATGGAATCTCCTAATCTGTTGAAGCAGAGGCTGAAGAAATGTTTCCTTGAAAAATTCTGTTTTATCTGGCAAATAAATATCAGTCTTCTATGAGCCAAAGTACAATATTTTATGTCTTAATCTATTCATAGGCTCTTATGCTTTGTGGGACAGAAGGTAACTTAGCAGCTTCACCTCCCTTCTAATGCAATGAGGAATTTTTACACACAGCCAGCAAATTTCTGCAACATCAACCAGGCTTGGGAGAGGTCCAGAGAAGTCAATACACCTTCGGGAAGGGGTACAAGTGCACTTACAAAATTCCCAATTCTGCAAAACTATTCTGTACTATATGGGACAACCGAAGGAGGAAAAGGGCAGGACAGACACAGAGAACATTCTCTTTTTCTCTCCCTGAGGAGGCACACTTCATTAGCCACGTTCAACTAATAGCCTGATATAGTTCTTTGCAGAAGCTTAAGAGGAACATAAGATTTTTAAGCACCAAGTCAGGGGATTTGCTTTTTGAAGTCTATGCCCTGCATATGTGTTCAGACATACATACTCAGCTTTTTCTCTGTTTAGACTGTAGGACTAATTGGAACATGATCTGCAAATGGTCCCTTCATCAGCAAGAAGAAAAATAATCAGCAGACAAGACTGTAAACAGAAATGTTGCTCTGGGATAAAGTGATCAGTGATCACCCTGATAGGCACAAACTGCTAATTGTGAGGTTGCTTTCGTAATCGACTTTTATAAAATCTTAACCAGACTAAAAGCCTTCTCCAGTTTCTTCTGCCAGCCAGTCACTTCTTTTCCCTCATATTCGCATTCTTCTCTCTGGCTTTCCCATCAACACCTAACATCTTTCCTCCTCAGAACTGAGCCGTTCACTTATCAGGCATGTGACTAAAATACCAGAGCAGATGACTCAGCAAAGGAGATGAATGATTAACTGCATCTCATGCCTTTGAAAAATCTGTCCGCTTTTCCCATAATTCTTGTCCACCATCATAAGCACTTTTTAACAAGATACAGACTGAAGTTTTACTGATATTTCTACAAATATTTTCTTTAGGGGTTGGCTGTCCAGCGGCTCTGAAATAAACCCAAGTGGTACATCTTCAGCAATACTGTGCTCTTAAATTACTCTTAGGCATCTGTAGGCTACTCTCATGTATTTTACATTGTTCCCCTCAGCCTCCAAAACAGTCTTTCAGTTGTGCTGTAGCAAAGTCTTGTTCTTCTGTACAGTGCAGAAATGGGCTGATAAACTCTGCAAGGAATTCTGAATGCAGATAACAAACACATTGACCATTACCTCTGTTGATTACTATGGAGCTTTAAGCCTTCGTGAGCAATGTGGATCATGCACAGGGTAGGCAAATAGGAATCTCTCACACATGGCAGTTTTAGATAATACAGTATTTTAATGCAAGATGCAGAAAGCAATTTTTATCTTACTGCATTGCTGTCAATGTTAATGACTTTAGTCTGTACTCATTTAGGTAAATACCATTATCAGATTAGCTGTCTACTTTTCATTACTCTTTTGCTGAAACCCATTTGAAACCACTAAGATTAAAGCCAATTATGCTTCTGTTTTTTCTCTTACCTTAGCAATACTTAACCATGTGTTTATAGTTAGATACATCTCCACTGTAAAGGAGTTCAATATTCCACACGCAAGAAGATTATATTGCAATAATATGACAAAATGTCTTAATTTTGTTTGCTTAATTACTTCCCTAAGCTTCATAAAACTGTGTGTAATTACTTCTTTATAAACCTCTCACTTAAACAGGTAATTCATTTCAACTCTCTCTAAAATAACTTCCACACTCCTCTGCCATAAAGCCTCAAATTTTGACAGTTGATATTCCCCTAGCACAATCTGGATGTCTGTACACATCATCTCTCTCTTCCTCACTTCTCTCCAGTCGATGTTGATAGGAAGCTGCTTCAATCCGACAGCCTTTCATTGCAACTTCTTCATCTAAAGCCAGAGTACAAAGCAGAACGCCCGGCAGGGCATGAAGGGAAAGGAGGAATAAACTATAGAAAGTATCCAGCATTACATGCAGTTAAGGACAAATGCCTAATCTTTTATTAAGGCCACCTTTGGATTAATCAGGAGTTGGAAAACATCTGGATGATATGGGTGTGCAATGACCTCATTCTTTCTGCCATCCCGTCTCCAGATGATTTTCCAAAGGCAGGTAGTGTATTTCTTTCCAGATCCCATCACAAATTAATGCAACCTAGACTGCTACAGTTTCTCCAAACACAGCAAGTATCAGAACAGCTGTCTCCAAGGGATTGCTGGTATGAGAAAAGGAGACATGCCTTTCCAAAATGGCATCTCTAGATACATAAGTATGAAGAAGCACAAGACTTACTGCATGACTTTGAGGCATTCAAAGGCAGACATACAAAATATAGAGCCCCCAACAATTAATCTTCATTAAGAAAGTCTGACTTCATTAACGTCTTTATCTAGGTTGACATCCTGCTCCCTTTGACATCAGTGGAAAAATTATTAATGTCTCCACTAGGAAGAGAGTAAGTACAGCCTGATGATCTTGTGTATCACTTTGGAGTATTGCATGAAAGCTAGCTTATCTCAAGCTCTATTATACTTTCGCATGCTAAATAATGCATGTGCAGAAAACTCTATTAGTTTTGGCAAAAGATCACACTTCACTAAGCAGCACTGTAGGTATCAAAGCTATTTAATGGCAATTAATATAACCACGACATTGCTAAGGAGAGGCACTTCCTCATTCTGAGCTGTATCCTGCCTTGTTTCCAGGGTTGTGGACCGTCAACTGGAAAACAAGACACTTGGGATCGGTGCTTTGTACAGCAAGCAGCCCCTAGGATGCTGGCAGACTGGTATTCCTCACAGGGCAGGCAGAATGCACAGCACCAGCAGAAATATTTAATGTAATGAGACAGCACGGGCCTGTGCCCAGGTAAGGAAACATGGTTCAGAATTCCACAACAGTAATTTCCATTTATCAGGGAGTAAAAAAAAAAAAAAAAAAAAAAAGCCCATCTAACTTTAGTCTAAGGATAAACAGGGAGCGGAAGAACAAGTGTGTTTCCACAGCAGTATTAAAATTGTTAAAATAAAGGGCAAAATATTTCCTGTTCCTCTAGGATCAACCTCTCCAAGTTTTCCAAATGCCTCAGGAACTGTTTCATGTTTAGAATAGTTAATAGCATTCTCTTAAAAAAAAAAAACTTGTATAATGGAGATGCATTTCATTTCTCTTCTGACATTAATATATGTGACTGAAGTAAAACAGGGATTGCCTAGCAAAATATTCATTCCTAACACATCCTCTGTACCAAACTTTTCATCTATGCAGAACACCAATCTCCAATAAAATGCATCAAAAAAATCAACATGATCAGATTTTCAGGATGCCTTGCTTCACCGGACATCAATATCTTGAGGCATTCAAGGCCAGGCTGGTCTAGTGGTTGGTGACCCTGCATATAGTAGAGGGGTTGAAATTAGATGATCATTGTGGTCCTTTTCAACCCAGGCCATTCTATGATTCTACGATTCAGAAGCATTACAATTAGAGCCAAAAGAGTCTGAGTACTTTTGAAAAGTTGCCAAAACAGAGACAACAGCATCTTAAAAAACTCTAAATGTAGGTGAAGTTCTACTGGAATTTGTGTGAACATATTTCTGTGTGTTTTTGTCAATAAAAGAGAAGTTAGCCACCCTGTGCTTTGCTGTTGGTTGCAAGTTGTTGCATGTGTACATTAACAAGCTGCAGTAACAAGCTGTAGCAACTATACAGCTTGAGACCAAAGTAATTGTCTATACACTGTGTTTTCAGCAGCCTCACCACAAGAGATTTGGGATAGCCTGTGCTGATTAAGATAATAAAATTCATTCCTTTCATCGGTTCCCATACTGTTTTTTTGACAGGTTGCTGCTATTTATTTCTCAAGTGTAAAAACAGTCTCCTGCTTGACCAGAAATAATGTGAACTGTGCAAGCTAATGGCAGCTGACCCCAAATCAGATACAATAGCTTGAATATTATTTTTAGTGGCAAAGTTGCCTTAAATAGACCTTGTTCCAGGCTCCGCTACCAACACAAACATGTTCCTGCTCAGTATTCACTCGCATACAAAGCAAAACAAGAAGTCATGTGCTGTGTCCATGTTTACCTCTGTCTCAAATCAATAAGTAGATGGGATCAGTCTGGAGGACAATCTTGGCTCAATTCTGAAGACCTGGGAGCCAGAGGACATGCTGCACACCAATGCACTGCAGAACTTCCATTCATACATAGTCATAGAAACGTACAAGGAATCATTTAGATTGGAAAAGGTCTCCAAGATCAAGTCAACCATCAGCCAGACCTACCAAATCCCACGGCGAAAACATATGTAGTGTCACATTCACATTTCTTGAATACTTCTAGAGATAGGACTCCACCACTGCTCTGGGGAACCCATTCCAATGCTTGGCCGGCGTTCTGCTAAGCTGTTGCTAAAAATATGAAATACTGCTCTTTCTCCTAATCGTAATGAAGCTGATGTTAAGCATATGAAAACATAAGGCCTAAACTATATGGGAAATACATTTAAACAACCTAGACTAAGCAAATGTAAGCGTAAGTCCTATTTGTAGCTTTATTCATCCTGAAGCAGTACAACAACGCTCCTGTGAAGCAATAAGGAATACAGGACCTTCTGTAGTTTCTGACAGGAAACAACAACTACCTGAAGGGAGGATGTGGTGAGGTGGAGATAGGCCTCTTCTCCCGTGTGATTAGTGATAGGACTAGAGGAAATGGTTTCAAGTTGTGCCAGGGGAGATTGAGTTTGGATGTTAGGAAATATTTCTTCACTGAGGGAGTGTTCAGGCACTGGAATGGGCTGCCCAGGAAGGGGGTGGAGTCACTGTCCCTGGAGGTGTTCAAGGACCGTTTAGATGCTGTAGTGAGGGACATGGTTTAGTGGAAGATAAAAGTGGTTCGTAGGTGGCTGGACTGGATGATCTTAGAGGTTTTTTCCAACCTTGATGATTCTTGCTGGGACTGCAACTAGTACAGCACATAAGTTAGCAATTTCTGGATTCAGTAACAACGATTAATTTGACTGCGGTAAATGCTTTTAACAGACTATAAGTGGCATCTATTTCTATTATACTCAGTAAAAAAGAAAAAAGAAATAACCCTAGCTGAAAATTTAAAGAAATGCATGAGAAAGCACAAGTTATCATTTCCAAATGATTCAAAAAACCATACCAAGTATCGTATACAAGATTTATAAATATACAAATATTTTAGTTTTCCTTCTGGATTTTGAGCTTTTAAGATACATTATCTGACTCAAGCATACAGCCAGAATCTCATTAAGAAGAAAAATAATTAATTTCAAGACTCCAAGTACTGGGATTTGACTAACAACAGCAAAGCCTTTAATTAAATACAAAACCCCATTTGCATTGTTTCAAGTGGTCCAAATTACTATTTTCTATAAACTCTGACATTACTTACAAAAAGTATTATTTCTTGGTCTAAAGAAAATGAAATTTGTTGCACGCAGAACAGCTACCCAAATTACCTACATACCAGCTCTGGTTGGAAACCCATACTACCACTGAAAGGAGAGGTGTGGAGGTTGACATAAGCCGATGGGAACAAAATGCAAGCCATCTCCAAATATTTGCCTTGAGAAGCACAAGAGTGAGAGCACTCGGTTATTAAGCTACAACAGAGAGGTATCAGGAACAAAGGCTTTACCAACTGGATTAGAGTACAAGCTGGACCCTGGCTTCACCCTTACCCCATTCCTCATCAGGAAGCTGCTGAGTGCTCAGCATCCACTCCCATTTCCATAAGTACCCATGATAGAGGCTGCTGTGTCCCTCTAGAGTGATTTGCTAAGCACAGCGAGTGAACAGATGGCTCTCAAAGTTGTCATGGGAATACCCAGCAGGACCTGCCCTCAACACGCATTGCTGCTCACAGAGAAAATGTTATTTCACTGAAGTCCGTCTCCATGTGCAAGCGAACTACCCACTTCCAGTTCAAAAATGGATCAGGTTATTTAGGTTATTATGGCACAACTAGCTACTGCGCCGGCTTCCAATCCATGCTGAAATAGAAGAGTTGTATGATCCCTCCTCTTAAATAATTTTTCTTTGAGTCATGAGTTTTGAGTTTGTGTTATTAACACCACTTCAGGTGCTAGTGACGCAGTATGTGTATGTCTTCATGGCAATGATAGGCACATTTCAAACATGTAGAAAGTAAGATGGGGTGGCTTTGCTCATTTGCTTTATAATCACTCTACACTATCACAATGTTTACACATGCCAACCCTACCCTGTCCTACATACCCACACTGGGCACCCTGGCAGAGATCTGCACCAGCAAGTCAGCTGAGATGCTCTGGCAACCTATACCTGTTTAATTGGCATTGCATTTGGTTGTTCGGTTGTTTTTAATAGATGAGATATCAAATTCCCACCCTGACCGACAGCTGTTCTGGTGTTCCTATTGCCCTCTTAAAGACTCTGCACAGACAATTCTCTAAGGAAAAACTCAGGAAGAACAGAAAATTCAGAAAGTCTAATAATTAGGAAAGTATTGTGAGTACAAAGAGTTGGATTTGTGTTCACTAGCACTGTCATTGATTTTAATTAGTGTCATTACTTTTCCTCTGTTTTCTGTGTATTGAAACAGTGCATGTGCTCTTCCTGCAATGCACAGCCAAGGTCACTACCTCAGCTTTTCAAGAAGCACTGCTGCATCATTTCTTACAAAAAAAGCACCACAGCTGCACGTATGCATCTGCTTGATGTGCTAATAAATTAAATATCATACAGGAGTCTGAAATGTTGAACTGGAACTATACAAACTACTCTGAGTGAAGATATAGCTACAAATCAGATTGATGGATCAGTGTATATACCTGGAAAAACAACTGAAAAGCACATAGATGCTTTAATATCTACGGAAGTGGAGGCTTGTTAAAAATACGGACTTGCAAAGCAAGAAATGTAAAATGGATCCACACAGATAAAGCCACGGTGGTGCAACATCAATTCTCAGAAAGGTGCATTTTGTAAACTGCCCCTCTGGCCTGAGGTACCCCAAGTTCATAACGTGTGCCTGCCAAAGACTCTGCAATTTCTGTCTTTGTTTTTAGGCAGCACATTTATTTTGGACACAGAGAGGGAAAAATAGCCCATAAAGTTCCCACTGTTATGAAAAACAGAAACAATTGCTAGAGTTACAAGCTCCTCACGGACTGAGCCAGAAGATGAACAGCTCTTATTCTCCACTCAGTTAAGCACAGCTACCAAAACTTAGAAATCCAGCAACACCACAGTCAAGTCCATAAAACCTGATGCTTACAGAAACTGTTATTTGTCAAACTGAACCTAGCTGTAACTGAACAGCAGCTGTAACTGTCAACCCATTAGTTTTTGAGAAGCCTTTCTCCCCAGTATGTTTTCTTGCAGCTGCCTGGGTTACAGCCTTCGCAGAGGCAGAATATGGAGCACAATAAACATAGCAAGCATCATGGACTTCAAAGCAAGGCAGCACTTGATGAAAACAGTCAAATACAAATCTGCCTAATTATGCAGTTTGTTTTGAAGAGTAATGTCACTCCTCCTTCCATGGTTTCATTCCTCTCAGTCTAACTATGAAAACACGCAAGGTAATGAAATTAGTCTCCAACAGTGTCTGAGGGTTCTCCAAGTGCTGATGTAGCTCCAGAGCCTGGCAAATGGCAGGCAATGCCAGTCTTTTCCTCAGAGGCAAAGCTGTCCTATTTTCTTCAAACTAAACTAAAGCACAAAATAAATGAATAAATAAATAAACAGAAATTGCTATGAATATCACATTCAGCAGATGTTCTCTATTCCACTTACCTCTACCACATCATATTTAAAATTATTCAGTTTTCTTACCCATTAACTAAGTTCTCTTCTGTCTTCAGCGTCCTTCAGTACTTGATCAAACCAGATCTGAATTACGAGGTTGACTCCAACTATGACTTTTTGCAAAATAAGCTTAAGGTAAAAACAATGTAGTTGTCCCGAAACTGTGCACTGAGTGTCCAAGAAAGAACCCAGCTGAAGCAGCTATGACTCCTCGAATACCTTTGTTCACCAGAGGCTCATACAGCCATGAATCTTAGGGGGAAAACTGGATCTCAGTTTTCTCTGTGTGGAAGAAAGCTGGGAGTCCAGCACAGCTGAGAGCTGTGTCACACAGCGCCTGTGCATCAGAGGCAGGAAAGCTGCAACTGACTTCCCCACTTCTTATTTCAGAGAAAACATTTTGAGCAAGTATGAGGAGTGGTTAGGAAGGGGCACGTCTCCCCTCAAAAATCCCTCTTCCACATGGCTGTACAAACTCAAAACTGATTATAACTGCGCAAGCTTTCCCTATTAGGAATAGCTGAAAGAATGCTGGAAGCAGCTGCTGCTATTCCTTGGAGCACAGCGAACTGCACTTGGTGTTTTCTGCCTGACCTTCTCATGCAGCCAGTTTGCAGCTTTTTTAAACACCTTTAAAAACTTTCTGCTCAACCGAGCAAACCGGCTATATTTATAACACCATGTTGACAAGAGCGATGCAGAGGCTATTTTACACAATTTGCAAGGAAAAAAAAAAACCTTGATGAAGGCACTGCTTCATAAATAATGCCTGTCACGTTCACAGTCCGCATATACAACGCTGTCATCTACAGTGCGTGGGCTGGAAGCGTAGGCAATTTATGAAAAACAAACACTGAATCACCAATGACTTCAACTGCAGTTCCGCACTACCTGGCTTTTCACCAAATAAGCATGCAGAGTGACAGAACTGTTTCTCAGTCCATACAGCTTGGGACTCCATCGGACTGCTCACTGAAGAGAAGCCACAGGTGATGGGGAGGAAGAGCATGTGATGTTTTCCCCATCAATCTACCCACATGCTTTGTTTACTGCTACATCTGGGTGGGCTGAGCAGCCATGATCTGCCCAAGTGAGGGAGCCAGCACCTAGGAGTATGTGCTGGACATATCTGGCAGCCACCAGTACTGCCTGCAACCACCACATGCGCGCATCACACATCTCTAATATCAAAGCCTTACCCAAAGCCCACAGAAGTCAAAGCACACACCTCAGCACTTTCAGTGCCTCTTAGTTTAGACATCCTCAAACCACGTAGTTCCTCAGCTTCATTTCCAGTCTTTCTATTCTACCTGTGGCAGAGTGGTGCTAAGCACAGACAGGGAGTCACCACGGAGCAAGGCACCATATAAGACTTCCAAAGAAAAGCTGTCTACTGAATAATCTTCTCAAGCACTGTCATGGTTGTGCTTACATCTTAACACAAACCAAGGACACTGAAGCTGAATTTATCTCTCCTCTTCAAAATGCTGTAGCCAGAGATCAGCCTCCTGCTGGTCATCTCAAAATTATGCTGTACATTTGTGCCACTTGACATATTTCTTCAAAACCAAATTTCTTCAGCCCTTATGTCCTGTGTTATTATTCTTTGAATTTCCCCTAGCAAAAAGAAAAATTGTTATTTGCATAACTAGAAATGGAGATATACTCATTCGGAAACTCACTCAAGCGAAGAAGGCAGGAACTGCCACTTTCATGCTCTGCAAATAAGCAATCTAAAAACCCCCAACATTTTCTGATGGTCTGCAGAAAGACAAAGTGGGAGTGAAGAATCCAGTTAGGTCGCCCCCCTTGTATTTATGACACTCCAGACAAGGTTATGTTCCTTTAACTCCGTTGAAATACCTATTGGTTAATATTAATTGCAACAATGCATGGACAGCAAGGGCTTCCTGCTCAGAAATAGAGGAGTCCAATGATATATGTTGAATTGTGCTGTAAATCAGGCTTCTTCAGATTATTCAGTCACTAATAATGTTCTTTCTTTCATGTTGTTTCCTTTTTGGCACACAGATTACACCATTTTTTACATCATCAATACATTTGCATTAGCTACCAGAGTACCTGGGCGATTTTTTTTTTTTCATTTCAAAATACTCCTTTCAATAATATACAGCTTTCTATTTAAAAAAATTAAAAAAAAATTGCTACTCAGGATGAAATATAATGTTATAAATACAGAATGTTCACAGTATATGGAGAGGATATATATAATATAACTGGTCATCAAAAATTGAAGAAAATAAAGTTATTTTGTTTACTTTGGATGAACTTCTTCATCAAATTAATTTCTTCTCAAAAATATTCATCTTAAAACTTAAAACTGACCCGTGGTAAACTACCATTGAGAAATCAATCAACTGATTCTGATACTGTAAATTCAACATTCACAGATAGGCTGTAAGTAACTTTTAATGCGCTCCTTAATTATGCAAAATTCCAAGGAACCTACACCCCTCTGGGGTAAGCTTAGGAGAACTAAATTAGCAGGCAGCCGAGAATTCCTTGGCTGATCTCTTGTTACACAGTGACCAATGCTGGCCACTAACATCTCATGGGACCTTCAAAAATAGCTTCAGAAATATAATTGACCAACTTTTTTTTTTTTTTTTTTTTTTAAGTGGAAAATAAGGCTTCTGTCTTAAGAAAACAGTCACGAAGAATATGTTTTCTGTGGAAAAGCTGATGGCTTGGTGAAGAAGTTCAAAGAAGTCTGCAGCTAAGGAAGATGTTTTCACTCAAAAACCCGCTGGTGTTTCTCAAGGGAGCTGCAATTCCAGTGCTTTGCATGCTCTGCTACCTTTCCCGCCCTGAGCAGGGTTCTCATGACAGACCCCTTTCCTCAACTCAGATGACAGCACTGTACTGCCAGAGATGAATGATGAATGTCCCTTACAGCTCATCACATAATACCTGGGATATCAATAACATGCAGTATAGCATCCAGGAGACTCGACAGCGCTATTTTAAACAAAAATGCTCTCTATCTTTGTATTTTCAAAGCAATCAAAAAATGCTTTGCCAGTCTTTCTTGGATTCCTTTGAGCCCCAAAAGTAAACTGGGCATTCACAGCCAAGCAGGTGAGATGCACTAAGCTCTGGTGACACGCTTCATTCAAAAAGAAAAGTAAGTACCAGAAGTACAACAACCTAACTTAGCTTTATGCTTGATGTGTTCCTAAGATCTGTGAAAACACAGCAGTAACAAGGCGCATATGCAAACAAGGCACTTATAATTATATCTGAACCGTCTGGTCCGGCAGCCACAAAGCAGCCCATATGCTCCAGAGACTGTCTGCATGTATCCCACAGGCTCTAAAATGCAAAAAGCGAGACAAATCAATTAACACATTAACTCATTTGTTGTGGTTTTTTTTTTTTTTATCTCATGCTTTTAAGTGCCATTACAGGAACTGATGTCTCCAAAAGAGATAACATGAGTGCTCTGACAAGTCATATTAGAATCTAATAAAAACCCACATCGTGAGATAAATTAAGAGAGAACTTGAAGCAGCGTCTCTGTTTCTAGAAAAAGCAAGCATTGTGAAGAGCTGCAGGGACCCTGGTAAACTGATGGAGAGGGGGAAGAGGAGCACTCCTGACCTCAAAGGAACTGAAGTGGGGTTTGGTCACACATCTCCAAGCAACACATGAGGAACGCACTCCCTTTTATGTCTGTTTCAGACTTCTGAAGCTGGTCAAACATACTCTGAGTATGAAAAACTCACTGCACAACTCTGCTTTTATATAAGCTGTATAACGTCTTTTCCCTCGATAGAGGTCTAACAACCCGCATGCTGTGAGCAGCAGCGGTTGGGCAGAGGGGCAGTTGCAGGCTGCTTGTGGTTGAATCACAAGGGAAACTCCCTTCTTTGGGCATGTTTACATCTCCCGTTGGCAAAAGCAGCACATACACAGGACTATGGATTCAAACCACGTTTTGGAAAATGACACACTAAGTCTTGAAAGAGCGCTCAGTGAGAAGAGGGCAAGGCAAGGGCCTCACCACAGGAAAGGTCTCCAGGGAGGCTGTCAGCAGCTGCCATGCACCAAACCACACCAACACGGACATAGCCCCAAAGTCTGCTTCTGAAATCAGCGCATCATGAAGCTTATAGCGAAGGGCCCGGTCCTCAAGCTCTGAAAAGGCAGGTCTCCATCTACAGTCTCCAAATAAAAGACAAACAAGCTCAGAGGCAGACTGAAGGCCTATTTTCAGATGAAACATTTCCAATATCTCTCCTTACCCACTCTCCTCATAAGCTTTTGGTGAGGACTGCCAAGCGCTCTCTGTTCCTATTTAAATTTTTTAATGGCAATCTAACAGACGTCTCCAACCCAATTATTTTAATCTGCCCATGTTGAGTGACCACAGCAGCTGTTCACTTCCTCTTATCAACCTTATTAATCCTGTAATTTAAATACACATTAGTCAGTTGAAGGATCCACACAAATCTCTTTCAGGTTTTACTTTTCATTATAGAGTGAGCAAAGAGCTTTAAAAAAAAATGAAGGAACTATCAGTTTGGGTTGAAGAGACAGGATGAGGCTCCTGCTAAAAAAGGCATGCAAACACAGGAAGTTAAAGAGCTTTCACTGCAATATCCTTGTAAAATCAACAACTGCATGAAAAATTAGATTTGCTGCTGGGTCCCACATTATTGCAATACAAAGAGCTCCTCATCCTACATACACAGAGCAGCACAGCATATTGCTTTGGCACTTTTATCACACTACACTAACATCAAAATATCAGCATTTCAGCCTACTGTCAGATTTCCGTTATGATACAGGCAAAATTCATCTTGAGGTTTACAAAAGCTAAAACGTTCTTATCTGAATTATGCCCACTAGTAAACCAAAGGAGAATATTTTACACACCTCATTAATAATAATAAGTTTTATTCAAGGGAATCTTAAGCCATAAGCCTCCATTTTAAAATACAAAGATTATAGAGCTTTCTACACTTCAATATCACTGCAAGGAGCTCCTAACGGGCTGCAAATGAATTTTAGTTGATTGCTTTAGATGTACTCTTTGTCTCCTGAATACCCAGCGATCAGCTATCAGAGATGGGGGATGCTGCAGTAGGATAATTTCCATCAACTGAAGTTGTGGCTATTTGTTCAGAACCAGAGGAGAGCAGAAAAAAACCACAATATAAATAAAGCCTTTAAAGACTTTACTCAGATCTGAAGAATTCAACAGCTGCATCCCATTCAAGAAATGGAACAGAATAAATATCCTCAGCTATGAGAGCTACTTTTAAGGGGCCAGGCTGAAAATTCAGTATATTTCTAAAAGAAGACATTGATTTTAAATGCATCTATAATGCTATCACTTTTAACAATACTTTTACAAGTCAGCTTTATGACACTTGGTATTTTCCTTAAGAGTTTTATCTCCAGGAGATAAGTTAGTGCAGGTGAACCTCAGTATTCAAGAAACACGTGAAGCTCCAGCCTTCATAAGCATGCCTACAAGCATATTTTGCACACTTCTGCCTTATTAATGCTTTCCAATACAGCTTTGGATCATGCGGAACCTTGCAGGAGTGATACAGTGAGTAAGATGCATGACCCTGGCTTAAGAAATTATAGTCCCTATATATAAGATATGCATTGATAAAGAGGGATACCAACACCCAATAATGCTCGTAGATGGATACTGAGAAAATAAAGAAGCATACATTAAATGTAAATTTGTTTAGTATTCCACAGAAGGTTATTTTCATTAAACTTCTCCATTCAAATCTTGCACTGAATAAACATCAAACAGAAACTCCTAAGGCTTTTCCTCATGACTTCTCCCGCAGCACAAAAGTAATGAACGCTAAAAACTCTGTTAAGACTTTTATTACTATTACCCATACACAGTCCATTATATAATGGATTAGTTTATCCTTGAAGAATCCCATAGACTTTGTGATGTTTTCCCCTTTTCACTCGGTGGAATAACTACAGTCACCAGTCACCTAAGTGTTTCAGATGCTGACAGCTTAGCTCAGAGGGAGATCACACCCACTGTGGGACTTCTGTCGAAGTACAGGCATCTGTATCTAACCTAGGCACTGTAATTACTACATCCAACCAGTGGTGAGGAACAGCAGCTTGTAGGGAATCAATCTCATCTGTTTGGTTTACGGAGATAAGAATGAAACTCCAGAAATGCCTTTCTACACCCCACTCACTCACAATCTGTGGTCAGCACAGAGGTTTACATCTACAGTGTGTCTCAATTGTAGATGCAGAGTGACACAAGACAAATTCCACCTTAAAATGCCTCTTGCCTTGGTTGTCAAGTGCTGATGCTTTCCTCTGAGCTCTAACCTTTTCCAGCCAGGCAGCAGGAAGGTGATGAACACACTTATCAGCAGCCATCTCCACAGCTGCCTGATGAAACAACAGGTTTTTTGGCATGCTCGTCAGCACATTTTCCAAGGCAGAGTGTTTGCTCAGCTGCAGTCCCTTCTCTGATCCCTAAACCAAGTGGCTCCAGCCTGGTCAGGCCATCAGCATCTGCACTGCACCAAGCCCTTCTTGCAGAGCCCAGCCTGCCTCTCAAATGAAGCAGCAGAAAGTGGCTCAAGGTCATTCTTCATTTTAGGAACTTCATACCCAGCAGTAAAAATGTCAGCTGTGGGTGAACCTGCCTTTGCTCAGTTCATTGCCTGCTCTAATTCCCTTCAGTCCAATTGCCATTTATAGCAGCGGAGCTGGGTGGAGCTGCTGAGTCCATCCCTGGGAAGAAGGAGATCACAGACCATATCCTTCAACTGCTGCAACAATATTTTCCCCTGGGAACTGGGCACACATTGCGCTGTTAGAAAATAAACTGCAGTTGGTCTCAATTTTTAATTATACTACTACTGTTTTTCATCGAATTTGGTGCCAAACTCTACAGGAAGAGTTTCCAGCACTACAAAAATTTACCTTGAAAACTGTCCCAGTGAGTACTGTTAGGATGTGAACTGTCAGAAAAAAATGATGAATGGCAGATTTGCAGTAACTTCACTGAAAGTAAGATCATGCTCTTTTTCTTCAGCAGTGCAGAGCATGAAATGCTGAATGCCGCAATTAAACAGTCATCAAAGTTAATGTGTTAAACTTCCACTTGTGATATATTATGTTGTTATATAGCTAATAATGAGGAATAGAAACTCATAAAAGCTAGTAATAGATTAAAGCTTTCCTGGCTTTTACCATCCTCTCACAAAAAAAAAAAAAAAAAAAAAAAAAAATTCACAGCCAAAAACATGAAAAGAACCAGAGATCTTTTTAATTCCCTTAGGGACTTTGTTATTGCCAGCCCATTCTATACAAAAGGTATTCAGGTTACAGCAGGCTATACTGAGAAGCATGAAATGCAGAAATGCAAAGAACATCCATAGGTTGTAATGATATAGGTAACACCATCTTCCTCCTACGCCTTTTCCAAAATTCTAAAGCTGTCTTCTATACGAAAGCAGAACAGAAGACAATAGTACAAATACCATCCACAGTTCACATTTGAAAGAGTATGCTATTTAAAAACAAAAAAACTCCCAAACTGCTCCTTACAAAAGCAAGCTACGTTTTTGGTTTTTTTTTTTTCTGCTAGTTAATAATTACAGAAGAATTTTCTCAAGTTTATTGATGGTGGGAAAAGAAGTACAGTTAAAGCATTATTTTCTTGTAGAGAACTGAAATAATACTTTTTCCAGATTTCCACAGAGATGTTCAGTGGAAAAATGCCCAGTATCCTAAAACACTTCTCTCTGGAAATGAATTTCACTCTTTCCTTCCCTTATAGTCTTTTATGTACAAGCAGAAAAGCACACAATAGAACAATATGCAGACTTTAAAAGCACATTAAAACAGGAATTTGTATGTCTCCAGTGTCTTCCAGGAGAAAGTGTTGTATACAGTACTCCAAACTAACAAAGAGCTGCTACCAGCCTAGAAAGTCTTTTTTTTTTTTTTTTTTTTTTTTTTTAATATTGCTTTTTAGCGTTGCTCCAAATGAGGATCAACAAGTTCTGCTTGGATTACCTGTTTCATACAAATAGTTGCATAATGAAAAGAAAACTCCTGTACACAAGGTCTAAGCTCTAAGTCAAAGTACTCAGATGCCAACTACTGACAAATTAGAGTGTATCTCTGTGTCTCAGTTTCAAATCTTCTGATAAGTAGAAAATAACTCAAGGATCCATACATCATGCGTCCCATTAAAGACATCTTTACAAAAGATACCTACTTGTTTTTCCACTGTACCGTGGTCAAGAGGGTAAGGAGTATTTCAGACTGTTCAAGATAAATAGTTCTTAAAACTTTACGTTACCCAGACAA